AAAAAAGCTGTTTTTGCCTATTTCATCTAGCTAATGACTAATATCTCATAGGGAGATTTGACATTGGAGCAGCACTGTTTTTTGTTGTTGTTGTTGTATGAGTACTTCTTTCAATGATTTTTCCTGAAAAGGATGCTTTTTAAATAATAATGTTGAGAGTAAATGATGCACTAGGCTTATCGAAATCTACCTTATAGTGTGCCTTCTTTCAGTGCGCCGCTTGGGAATGTGGCGGTGCTCCCGCCGAGGGTTCGGATCCCATGTGGAGACAGGTTCCCACTCAGTGGCTGAGCGTGGTGCGGGCGCGACACTGAGGGCTGTGATCCCATTACCGGTCAGTAAAAAAGACAAAAAGGGAAAAAAAAAAAAGAATCCACTAAATAATAATGTTGAGAGTAAATGATGCACTAGGCTTATCGAAATCTGCCTTATAGTGTGCCTTCTTTCACGGTGTGAGTTTGCAGTGAATTGAGAGGTGCTGGTTTTACCAATAACGCTGGTGGCTGTTGTATTCCTTGCTTCCCTCTGACTATTGTTGAATTTTTAAATGGACCATTCACCAGGCAGCCAAACACCTGCTCTCGGTTCCCTCTCCTTCACTGGCTGTCAGTGTAATGCACAGTTGTTTTAGACCTTGTTTTTGCTGATGCTGCATAACTGTCGGGGTGAAGGGGTGGGAGGGGAGGGTGTTGCCTTCCCTAACATAAGAAGAATTTGTAGTGCCTTTGGATGTACTATACTGAGCATTCCACTTGCACAACATCTGAGAAAAAGTCATCATCATTATCATGTTTGCAAAGGAAAAAAGTTCGGTATTAGATTGTTCACTGTAGGCACTATTAACTCTGACATCCTTCAATGACAGTTGACTGATTAATTCCAAATGTTGATATTCTCCATAAAGTTAGGTGCTACAGTGAGCCTGAAACACAGCTACTGCCTTTTCAATGTGTTGATCTCACGATATTTTACAAATTATTGTTACCATTTGGTTAGTCACTGTGCTTTACATTGCAGCTGTACTAGATGATCTTATTGGAGAACCGAAACTCTTTTCTTTCCAAATAAAGAATTACTTAAGTAGAACTACCAGCAGGCTAAGTGAAGGTGCTTCTCTGATAGCCCCTAAATTGATTTTATTGAAGTTCAGTGTGCACATTAAACTGTGGGTTTTCCCCAAACCTATCTTTTCAAAACAAAATGGAGGCATGTGCTTTACTTAAAGAGAAACAGGACCTGAAAACACGTGGTGGCTTCCCTTACTTGTAAGGAAATTATGGTCAAAGAACATTTCATTCTCTTTGATCAAAGACAAAAGATAGATAATCCTGATGACAAAAGTATTTTTATTGTCTTAAAAAATATAATCATTCATTTAGGCAAAACTATAGAAAACCTAAAATAAACAAGAATATACACCACGTGTATGGAAGAATTATGGAAGAAATATGTTAGATACATTTAGCCATGCACTGGCATATATTCAAGAATAGTACACTAATAAACCAAAAGACATTCCACAACTTGTGGAATTCTGGAAAATACTTAAAGATGGGGGAAATGAAACTGGTCTAACAGTGAAGTTGGCACAGACTGTGGTCTTAGTCTTGGTTTGGATGGAACTTTGCTAACTGTGTGGCCTTAAGAAAATTACTTAGCCAGCCTTCGTTCCAGTTTCTTCAACTGGAAGATGGAAATAATACCTACCTCGTAACATTTTTTTTTAAGATATCACTGAAATCATAGCTGTCATGTGCCTCGTATAGAGCCTGGCATATAGTTAGCATTCAATGTTTCCTCTCCATGATCATGCTTGAAAAAGAAGAATGCACTTAAGATTTATTTCTTTTACTAGCAAAAGTAATTTTAACACTAGAGGAAAACTAAAAACAATTTTCAGATTCTTTAAAAAGGATAGACTCATGAAGCCAGCCTGGATTTGTAATTAAAATAGGTCTTATCAGGACAACCTAATCAGATAAGCCTGGTTTATGGAGGAAATTGAATCTTAAATAGATTCCAACTGAGGTATAACCAAATCCCTGTCTCTTGTCCCCTTAGTTTGGAGAGGATGCAAAACCTTGGTGCTTGTGTGTATATCTTGATATATCACACACAAGGCCTTTCCCCATCCCCAGCTGTACTTTGCTATTCATACATGGATAGGGCAACTTGTTGTCCCTGTCAAAAAAGTTGGTAAGGATGGCAAATAGACTACATATCTCAACTTTGATCTGAAAAAGTAAATAAATGTTGTGATACTATTCAATACTCATTTAAAAATGTACATTTTGTTTGGCCTACATTATATATCTGTATATATAAATATTTTTACCTATAAGTATATATATTTTATATATACAGATAAATAATGTATATCTGTATGTGCAAATATTAATGTATA